ATCTGGGGAGCTCCTCAAATAGTGAACTGTTCGGATGAATGGTTTCACTTTGACTGTGCTTCACGGTCTTGTAATTTCCTGCTTTTGATAATTTTGCGATGTGGTAAAAATACCCGGCGGTTATGGCTTTACGTATGTTAACTGTTTCAGTTATGTTGCTAACCATTTCTATTTCTACTCTTCGTATCAAACCTACCAACTGCTCTCTAACATCCCGTGCACGTTTCATGGATCTATATTGAATGAAATTTTCGTAACACCATTGTGTGGAATAATCAGAATCTCTCCACTGATTATAAACGTTAAGTAAACTCAGATGATCTCCTCTAATATGATTGAAGTTTTTTCGGGCAGTATCTGCATGTACGATTTTGTCCTTAGGTCTGTAAAATATTGCACTATTTACTGACAGCATGGCCGCTATCGAAACTATGTCCTCGGAACACTTGTACTTTTCTGAAGCTAACAACATTTTTGCCATCATAGGATCCACTGGAAACTCAGCCATTTTTCTTCCTAGCGTTGTGAGTTCGCCATGATGATTCAGAGCCCCTAATGCATACAGCTGTTCCAATGCCAATACCAACGTTTCATGTGGTGGTGGATCTAAGAAATCAAAATGAAGCAAGTCATTTATCCCAAGTGCTTTCAACATCAATACAGCATTTCCCAAATTCATTCGTTGAATTTCAGGAACAGTGTTATCTTCCAATTCATGTTTGTAGGACCACGCTGTGTATAACCTGAAGCATTTTCCTGCAGCCACTCGACCTGCTCGTCCTGCCCTCTGATTGGCTGAAGCTTTGGATATTGGCATCACCATTAAACTTTCCATCCCCGTTCGCGAATTAAAATGATTTTGCTTAGCAAATCCCGTATCTATAACATAAATTATATTATCGATTGTTAATGAAGTTTCTGCTATATTTGTAGCCAGTATAATTTTTCTGGATCCTGGAGGAGTAGGCTCAAAAATTTTTGCCTGCATGTCACTCGGTAAATTAGCATATACAGGTAAAATAATCATTTCCTTAACTTTCGAACCTAATCTGCGAACACGATCCTGAAGGAGTTCTTGGCATGCTTCTATTTCATCTTGACCAGTCAAAAATACTAAAACATCCCCCAAAGGTTGTGTAATATGTATCTGCAACACAGATATAACACACGCATGTATATAATCAGCTTCCGGGGCTTTAGTATAATAAATGTCTACGGGAAACCTCCTTCCTGGAATTTGAAACACAGGTGCGCCATCAAAAAATTCCGAAAATTTAGCAACATCTAGCGTTGCACTCGAAATCAACAACTTCAAATCCGGTCGAAATCTGGTTATATCCTTAACGAGGCCAAATAAAATATCTGTGTGAAGTGTTCTCTCGTGGGCCTCATCAATGATCATAACACTATACGACTGTAAATCGGGCTCTGATAAAAATTCCCTGTGTAGGGTACCATCAGTCATGTATTTAATAACTGTTTTGGCAGAGGTGCAGTCTTCAAACCTGATAGCATACCCCACTTCATTTCCAAGTTTAACGCCCATTTCTTGAGCAACTCTTGCTGCTACTGACATTGCAGCAACTCTTCGAGGCTGAGTACAACCAATTTTTTTATTATTTTTTGTGAATCCCGCTTCATACAAGTATTGTGGAATTTGAGTTGTTTTGCCTGACCCAGTCTCTCCTTCTATAATTAATATTTGGTGTTCTCGAATAGCTTGAATCAAGTCATCTTTAAAAGGAAATATTGGCAAACTCTTTTTAGTCTCTTCAATACTCAGTTTTTTTCTTTGTACCTCTGTTAATTCGGTCCCTTTTGTGTCTGTTACACCTGGTATTTGTAATTCTTGGATGAACCGGATGTGATCTTCTAGTAATAGCTCGTATCCATCTGTTCTGAAGGAATCCTTCGCACCAAATTTGAAAACTGCAGAAGCCATCTGGTCTTTTTCCCATTTTTTCTGCTCCGATTGAGGAACTTTTTCCAATTCATCAACTTCAATATAATCAGACACAGAATCTTTGCCTAAATCTCGAGGCATGTGATATCGATGCACTCGCACGAGTTCTCTTGCTTTTTCATGTTCTTTTGCAAGTTTTAATAATTCTCTCTTGTGGTATCTGTCTTTTCGTTCTCTTTCGGTCAGTATTTCTTCCTCAAATAGATAGTCATCATCAGCAATATCAGCTTCAAGTTCTTGAAGCTTATCATCCTTACGTTTTTCCAAGTATTTCCTTCTGGATTGGACCCTAAGCTTGGTAATAATTTCATTGCGGTCAGTATTCTCTAGTTTGAATCTCTTGGCGGCTTGTTCGTACGACTTAGAATCTGAAGGTTGTGCAATATTTCTGGTACGTTTTTCATCTCGTTTTTTCAAACGGTGGGCAAATTCATCTCTTTCTTCAAGATCTTTTTTCCGGGCTTCTTCGTTATCAGCCATAATTGTCTCATCTAGTTCATGGTCTTTAATTCGTTTTTGCTTACTCATTTTTTTAATTCGATCTCAGATTAAAATTGAAATCACAAATCGCTGCTATGAGAAATAATCAATAACTTCTGTATACTGTTCACTTTCAGTATTCAGTCTATTATGAAGATGCGAGGTCGCATATATTTATATATATACAAGGAGACAGTCAGGTACCTATAATAGATAGTCATATACCTGTAATAGGTACCTGGAATAACAAATGTTACCTGAATTATCAATACCAATATTGAAACAATAACTACTTATCTTCTAAAATATATCAAAATTACCAACTATTGATCCCCAAAAACATATTTGTGAATTTTTTCAGGTACCAATGGATCCAAAATTTGTTGTCTGATAGGACTGATTGGCGATCCTTGCAGAAGACCGCGGTTATCAGACAATGACCACATATACAAAGATTACCAAAGCCAAGAACAGGAATGCTACAGAGTGTTGTGCTAGCCTCCCTTGCCATGGATACTAGGTTGGATACTAAATTTGAAGCTTCAATACTAAATTTCTGCTATACCGACAAAACGTGGAAAATTCGAATGAATTATATATATCAGTCATAGGTAATTTGTTTTATAATATCTAGCATAAAACAAAATGCGGGAAATTCAAAAAGCCAATTAATAGTGCCACATCGGAACTTCTTACAGTGATTTTGAGACTGGAAGGAATTATTTGAGCAACATTTTTGTCTTCATATATTTTTTTAAATTCAAATAATGTTGTTAATTATTGTAAAATATTTCGATTTGCAATTAAAATATCCGTATAGTAAATAAAAGCTGATATCATTTTTATTCATGAATATACAAACATGACATAAATAACGATGAGATTGGAACCTTTGGTGTGAAAGTTGAATAACTTTTTTCGAGATCAATTGCCCTAACACCAAACTGATATTTTTGCACTCGACGCGCGTTTCGCCAACAAAGTTAGCATCCTTAGGAGAAGAAAATTGATCAATTTTCTTCAAAAATATCAGTTTGGTGTTAGGGCAATTTAATTGTGAAAAAATTCTTTCTGCTGCAGCTGATGAATGTGGAAGACACATAATAATTTTTGCGAGTTTGAATACATTCTCGAAAATATGCTCATTCATACTATTCTCAAGGCTGAACACATTGTACCAAAATTCACAAATGTCATCATCAGAACACTTTTTCAATTCAGTAGTCTCACTTAGCAGCCGATACTCAAAGTCTACTTTCTCAATACATATATTCAAATATGAAAATAAAATCACATGAACCGCATGAATACTATCTACATTACCCGCCATAACAGTCTTGGGGTCAAATTTCTGTGCAAATAGCAATACTTTATCATTGAAATCGAATCTTTTTTTTATTTGTCTTGCTTACTCTACATAATAATCTAAAACTCGATTCTGAAATTCCTCAATTCCGACTTCTCTATATTCGTTTCATTAATAAAAACCTTTGCTTTAGCACCACAGTACAGTTCCTCCAGAGGAAGGTAGTTATCTGGATCATTAATGTTGATATATTGATGTTGTTTTCATTTTTTTTCATGCAAGTAGATTTAATGAACGATTTTAGGATCATTCTATACAATCCAGTAACTCCACTCAACAAAACATGAATATTCGTTTTTTCAGATTGAAATAAATGTCAATCTTGTCAATCCAGTCCACAGACCGGGTATATGGTCTGTGATCCAGTCACGCAGTCACTGGGACTGGGTAACTGCCCAGTCTTGTCACCTGTCAGTCCTGTCATTGACTTTGACAGGCTCCTAGAAAAATACAGAACACAAAACACAAAGCTGAGGAGCTGAGCGCAGAGCACAAAATCCAGTTGCTAAATCACAGTGAATGACGATGACAGAATGACTCATATTGGCATATTTGTTGAGAATGCTAAATTTTTTTTCAGAATACTAGGCTACTGAATGAAGTCGAAAAGTACTAAATTTAGTAGGATTGGACTAAAAATCCCAACTCATAGTAACTAGAAACAAAGATAGTAGTAGTATTAGACTGTACAATAATATAATTACAACCTCAGACAATAATAATGATATTGGAAGATCGCTATAATATCTCAATTGGCGAATGAATTTTGAATATTTGAACGTGACATCACGGTTACTTTTACGTATCGTTTTGGTAAAACCCAAAAACTTTCTTCAATTTTAATGATTTGAATACTACTGTAACATCAAATAGTTCCGCTCATCATCAATTGCCTCATTTAGGTATAAAAACAGGTTTATATGGACATTTATCAAGAAAGACATGAAAAAACTCGTAAACTTTACATAAAACTTGGTAAACTTCGAAACTAACAATAATGAAAGACAACTTGTTTCTGTTTATCAAATTTCAATTCACTCTTCAGCTGAAGTCCCATTTGTCGTGGGCCAATGGACCCAAGTTCTCTTCTCCTCTCGTTAAAAAATGATACAGATGGTCCGTCTCTTTTCAAAAGTAACTAATGACAATATATTTTTCTGGTAACCGATATAAAAAATTCTGGATAGTAGTGGTTATTTTTGGAACATATATCAATCAAGAAATGACAGAAAAATGTAACCTAAAAAAAAGTTATTAATGGTCGTAGGTTAATAAGAATTCAAAAAACATTGTTTTCAAATTTGAAAAGATTTATTTATGGCTCTTCGACTTTATAATACACTAGGCTTGCGCCTACTGAAGGTATCTAATCAGCTAACCACTTATTCCTATTTTATATGACTTCTATATTTTCAGGAAGTTTCCATTGGTTTACTTGCCCCTGCAGCAAACAGTGCTAATTGTCAGACTGTAAGACATCGACGAACGAAGCACTGGAATCCAAAATGGAAATTATTTCGCCGGATGAAAGTGATGAAAGTAGATTTACCGAAATTTAATGAAAAAACCGAGGACTTGTCTGACGAGGAATTACGCAAAAGGTTGAAGGAACAGGGTATACTGCCTCCGAGGCCCTGGGTGGAAAGACAGTTTTTCATTCACTCTACTGGGGCCGTTTTTGAGCCATATGTACCCCCCGAAGGTGATGGAAAGATATCACCAATCTCCAAACAGGTGATTTTTATTTAGTTATTATTATTACACGAAAAACCTCTGGTAATTATGCAGTAACATGGTTCGCAATTATTTCTTATCAATGTTTTGTTGTACTTATGTATTTTTGTGCACTGATAACGAATCTGAATTAAAAGTCGAAAATTTTACAGTTTCAGGATTTCTCCTCCGGTAATAATAACTTGTAAAATTACACCTTTTTTTCACTATCACTGCTAAATTGCATTTACTTGCCACTTTTTTTTCCAAGACAAATGTGGAAACGTCTTAAATAAATAATAAATCCGGTTAACAATAATAAAATGAATAAAATCATCTTTCCTGAAAAAAATTCAATAACAATTAATGAAAATGAACATGAGATAGCTGAGAATTTCAATAATTACTTTGTTAATAGTATTTAAAATATCTCTAAGAGTATCCCGCAATCTTAGGAATGGTCAAATCAAAATATACTTTATTGTCAGAAGATTTTTCATCCCATTGACAGAGATTTGTAAGTATAAATATAAACATAACTAATGATATATAAATAAAAACTGGTAATATAAAGAAGTTTGAATAAAACACAAATTATTCAGTTATAAACAGTTCTTTCTCCAAATTCAAACTGTTAACCATGATAGAACTGCGAAAGATTATTCATTTGTTAGACAATAAAAAAAGTCTGAAGTACTTAATAGCAAATTTTCAAAAGAAACATTCGTGGTATTTGGGTATGTGATATTAAACTTTGTAAATACATCTCTGGATAAAGGAATATTTCCGGATCAACTGAAGATAACTTCTGTTATTCCTATACCAAAGGTTAGTAATACAGTTGAAACTAGCAGTTTACCAAGAATTAGTTGCATACTTTGATAATAATGAATTATTTTTAGGTCAACAGTCAGGATTTAAAAAAAACATTCCAGTGAGTCATAATGAAAAAGAGAGAATTGAAAGTTTCTATGTTTTTTTATCACTTTTATTTGTAACTAACGTTACTGCAGTTTCGTTCTATAAGGACATTTTCAAACTTATACATTAAACTGACAATGATTAATTACATTAGCCCTTATATAACACCACTGTAGGTAATGATAAAGGTACTTAGCTTGATTGAGTACCTGAATTTTGTTTACTAGTGACACTATGTTAATTTGAAAAGCGGTGAGTAAACTACATCAATTTGATCATTTAACATATAACACCCGCAATGTTTATGCTTGTGAATTTCCAAGGATTTCAAATAATTGAGTTTGCAACCCTTCCTTGCATAGTCCAAAATTTCCGTATCATTTTTAAGTCAAATCATTTTTACCTAGTCTGAAGGACCTTTCATGTTCAGCATACCGTTTTTGGAAATTTCGACCACATTGTCCCACATAAACACTATTACACTCCGGACACTTAAGCTTATAAATTCCAGATTTCTCCAACTTGTCCACTTCATCTTTGGCATTAGAAAGGAAATCAGATAACCTGGCATGTGGTTTGAATGTCACTTCCACATTGTTTTTTCTGAAGAAACTCGCAATTATCTCTGTTCTGATTTTTTGATCTGGGGGTATATTAATCTGTAAGTCAATTTACGGCTTTGTATTATTCTCCTTCTCTTCTCTCGTCTATCTTCCAGTCCTAGGTTTTCAGCTATTACTATTGATGTATTCTTGAGAAGATAACACTTTTCCAGTACTTGTTTTTTCGTTAGGTAGGAAACAAATCTTACTACTATAGCTTTCGATTTCTCCTGATTTTTATCTTGTGGGATCAGGTAGATATTGTCTATATCACTATTTGTGACAGTTAGCTGCAGAAGAGTTTGGAAAATATTTTTTGTGAATTCTAGTTAATCTTCCTGGTTATATTGATTCCTGGTTATTATATTGGGCTGGTATTCTTGGAAACGTCATTATCTGTCCATTATTTCTGGAAGAAAACTTGACTGACAATCTGTACCTGGAAATGCTTGAAGCGACTATCAATCCTCTTATAACTCGCGAGGTAAAAACTCAAATGGATGCAGAAGGTAATGAACTTTTGCAGGAGGATCTGTTACATTTCCAGCGGGACGGTGCTCCACCTCATTATTTTCTTCCCGTCCGTCAGTGGTTAAACGAGAGATTTCCAGATAGATGGAGTGGCAGAAGGAAATCAGTTGAATGCCCTCCAAGATCACCGGATTTAACACCCTTAGATTTATTTCTTAGATCCGTTGTTTATAAAACACAACCTTCTGATATTGAAGAACTTAAAAGACGAATTACAACAGCATGACAGTCAATTCCTAGTAAAGTTTTCCGTAATGTTAGAGGGGAGTTCAAAAAATACTTTATTACTGTTTTGAGCAAAATGGACAACATTTCAAACAGTTTATAAGATAAGCGTAACTAGATTGCATGTTTGAAATGTCTTTCTCGTAAATTAAATTTTATCTTGTAAAAGGACAATAACCAACAAATAAAAAATCCCACATGTAATACATTTATTCCTATCATTCAAGGGTTGGAACGGTGCCACCTACTCTTCTAACCATTTTCATTAAAAGGAGTTCATATAATAATGTATCTCAGAACAGGCAAATTCTAATTACATGTATAAGTTTAGAACACTATTTTTTGGAGACTGCTCATCAAAAAATGAAACGTCAGGGTATCATTGGAAGCAGAATTGAACACCAATTAAAATGATGTGCCACTTGACACCCCTTCCCATTTAAGTTTCTAAGGGTAACATCTACCCCTCCTTGGGGATTGAACCACGGGGGCTACAAATTTTCCTTGAATGGGCCCCTTGACTATGAAATTGACCTGTTTTTTCGTTTTTTACTGGATGGAATATGTCAAGGGTGGGAAGTTTTCAAATTGACACCCTGTATATACATATAAGACAAGGAGTGATATTCTGGGGTTTTGCAGTATTACCACCTTGGCATTGTCATACGACTGAGAGGTCACATCGAGCAGAATTTCCTCATTTCCAACTTTCAACAGTTTGTTTCTTATATATACCACCAATCCGTAGGAGAACATGTTCTCTAGTCCAAGCCTAATCCTCACTTCAGCTTCTCCATAAACCATCAGTTTGCCTCCAGTGACTGTTTCCAGAACGGGTGCTACTGATAACTTCATCAAACTTCTTGTTTTGGAAATATTGGTTCTCATTACTGACCTTATTGCTCCAGTATCGATGGTGAAAAAATAATGGTGATAATTCAGAAACCGATCACGAAAACTGTTACTTTTGCGTCCTATTGTGGAAATCGAACACCGGGGGATGCAGCAGCCAATGTACCCCCTCCCCTAACACTGGCTGAATTTCGTTTTTCAGAACCCCCACGATCCCTTTCGGGTGATCCCGAGCGCCAGTACGTGATCGATAGTCCTGCCTTAAATATCCCTCTTCGGATCCTGTACGTGATCGATAGTCCTGCCTTAAATATCCCTCTTTGCCGCAGTTATAGCATTTAAGCATCTTTCTTGCTCTTGATGCAATTCCATTCGCAAATATTTCTTAAGGAGTCACTCTTACCTGCCATGAATCGATCTGTTCCTTCATTTTCCTTTTTGTTGGTGGCCCTTACTAGAACTTTTTGTTGTTGGCGCGAATCATTTTGGTTAGCTTCGAATTCTAGGGCATATATGATGGATTTTAGTTTTTTATGACAGGTCATCCTCAGCGACTGCTAAAGCTTAGTGTCACAAACCCCTTCGATAAAAATATGGACTCAATCCAGTAGTAAGTTATCGGGTGCTTCTGGATGGCCAGTCTTACCAACCTATCTATTGACTTCAACCTCAAACTCATTCAGACTCTCTGATGGAGCTTGAGTTCTCACCTCCAGTTGAGCTTGGTAGACTTTTTGAAGGTGCTTACTACCATATCTGACCTCCAATGATGATACGACTGCTTCATAATTTTTCTGCTTATTCACTGGAGTATTTTGCAGAATTTCGGAGGGTTTTCTTCCTAGTGACGGTATAAGGGCTGTTTCTTTATCCTCATTTTTCCACCAATTATTTTCTGCAGGGGCTTCAAATTAAATGAATCGACCAAGAAGATTCCCCATCTAAGGTTGAAGTTTTAATAAAACTACTGCTAGAACGGAGAGATGTTGATTCCGATTTGCATTTTTCCACAGCGATCTTCTTCGGCCCCAGCGATTCTTTCCAAAGTTCCCGGAAAACATCTTAAAATTTTCTTCCGACTCCTTCCTTGAAGCTCCTTTTCAAATTTTCTTTCAACCCCCTCAGCTTTGTTTTGTTCTCAACAACTTGTTCAATTTTTTCCTGAATAAATTCTTGTTCCTTCCCCTTACCCTCTTGAGGATATTTTTATTTGTTTTTCTTGAATATTCATCAACAATTTACAATCTTCCCATCTTGATTCTCCTGAATTTTATCAATAGTTTACGATGTTCCTCTGTCTCTTTCTTGTTTGTATTGAATATTTACCAACCAGTCTGTATTTCCCCAATTCAGTATACCATATTTCATGTGGGAGTGAAAATGTGCAAAGTTCAGCGTAAGCAAGACATTTTTGCTGCAGTGGTCTTTCATATACTTTATGCTGTAGCAACTACTTCTCAGTTTATTAGACAATAGTTCTATATGACTTGCCCATTACATATATGTTTGTCGAAAATTACTCCCAAAAGTTTCACCTCATCAATACAATTTATTTGTTTTTCTGTGTTTTTGAATAACACAGGTGATCTTTGTATGGAGTGCCCAAAAAATACTGTGACTGTTTTGTTATGATTCAGTAAGAGACAATTCTTTTCAGACCAACGAATGATATCTTCATAAATCTTCTAAGTTTTACTCAGTAGCATGTCTATGTTTTTTTCAAAAATTAGTAAATAGGTATCGTCTGCATAACACACTATTTTTATATTGTGGTTTCTTTCCATCAGACGGATTATATCATTTACAAATATATTGAACAATAAAGGTCCCAATACAGATCCTTATAACCAAATGTTACGTTTTCTCCGTTGGTTCGACAATAATTGCCACACTGTACAATTGAAATCAACTTTATTTCATTACTACACTGTCAATACAACAGAAAAACTCTAACCGAACTTCAGACTAATACTCAAATGTGTATCGCCTTATAACCTCAATTCGCCTGTACTTTCCGAACTAGACCCCCTCCCCTAAGTATTGGTAATGCTTATATATCTCGATGGAAGTCTTCCGAAGTCGATGGAATTATTCTCAAAGCGACGCGACACCCATATCGTTTTCAATAATTAATATATTAGTATTATCAGCATAACACGTACAGTGAATGGCCGAGTTCTTATTTAGGTACACTAACAAGTCATTGGCAAAAGCTAAATACAAGAAGGGTCCTAGAATGGATCCCTGTGGTACCCCATCCTCAATATTTCTTTCAGTACTTAGACTTTTTCCAACTTTGACTACTTGTCTTTTCTTATATGAGTTTAGTAAGGATAGGGGGATTCCTCTTAGAAAGTTTGTTCAGCAAAAGATTATGGTTCACACAATCGAAAGCCCGCGAAAAGTCAATAAATAATCCAAAAACACATTTCTTTTTGTCTAGAGCAATTACTATTCGATTTTGAAATTCACACAGTGCCGTATCAGTACTTTTTTTCTTAGTGAAACCATGTTGTGAGGGCGATAACAAGTTATTTGCTATGAAATAGGATTCCAATTGTTCTTTTATGTTAATTTCATAAAGTTTAGAGATACTTGAAAGAATACTAATTGCTCTACAGTTATCCATATTGTTAGGATCACCTTTTTTTTAAATAGGAGATACACTAGCAAGTTTAAGATTGGTAGGAAAGATCCCTTTTGAGGTTGAGAGATTATTTAAAAAGGTCAGGACACCACATAGTTCATTAGAGAAAATTTTCATTATTGTATTGGAGATTCCATCAATCCCAGTGGAGTTTTTCAATCTATTAATCATTTGTGTGAGTTCCCATTCAGTAATTGGAAACATAAAAAAGATTGAGTTATTTAAGGTAACATCGCTCTCGAGAAACTTTGTGTCAACAGAGAAGCTTTCAGATATATTCCTAGTAAAATGTAGATTAATTTTTTCAGCTATCATTTCATCTGAATATTGAACATCATTGACTGTTATAACTATTTCACGATGTTCCATAGTTTTCTTTTTTTGTAATTCCTTAATTATGGCCCAAGTTGTTTTAGATTTGTTGCATGAGTTTAATATCAACTCATCATAATATTGTCTATTCGGCGATTGCAGTTTCTCTCTGTATTCTTTATTGCACTTCTTACATTCTTCCTTATATTTATTATCATGTCTAGCTAATGTATTAAACAACGAAACTTTATTTTTTAGCTCCCTTATTTCACGAGTCATCATTATTTTGTGTGAAGTAAAGCCCTCTTGAAGCATCTACTTTCATATAAACATTGAAATATACAAAAGAAAAATACTTTTGGAATAACTACTTTTATATGAACATTGAATTATACAAAAAACAATTATTCTTTTTAATTCTGTTTGTATTCCAAACATTCGTTATGGAATTGAATCAGACACCATTCACAGGATTTCTATATAATATAGTAAGTAACTGAAAGAGTGAAATTTCACTTACATGGAACATTTTAACTCGATTGCATATGTTTTTCCTGATTTTTTTCAAAATATTTTGTCACTGATTTTCTTATCCTACTACTATCGACTCATCTTACCATTTCAATTCATATTATGTAGGTACTTTTGAAATATTTTTACTATATATATATAATAAATATGTTTGTATTTTATATACTTTTTTTATTTGACACCTTGTAACAGGTTTTCATTATGAAGGAAAGAATAACGATTATTCTGTTTTAGTCTAATGTTATTTCAAATATAATTGATATCTCCTTCAGTACTTCTTATGCTAGAGTTACAATGCCCTACGCTGTAATTTCGTATATTCATTTCTATCATTCAGTATCGTCTGTGACATGTGTTTCGCTAACCAATATAATTTTTGAATTATAAATACTAGATGCATTCAATTTGGTCTTGACATCTAGGTTCGACAAGATGACTTCTAAGGAAATTAATTTTGCCATATTAACAATAATTGGTACAAATATTACTGGAGTTTAATCCCAACACCAAACCGTTATTTTTCAACACCTTGACACGTGTTTCCATCATCAAGTGATTATCTTTAAAAGGAAGATAAAACAGTTTTAATCTTCCTCTTGAAGATGGTCACTTGGTGATTGAAACACGTGTCAAGGTGTTGACAATAACCGTTTGGTGTTAGGATATAACTCAAGTAATATTTATTACTACATCAAAGGTTCCAAACACTGCATCACAAGTAAATAATTGGTATGTTATTGATAAACCCAATTAACATTCAACTTTTATAAATAGTTATTAAGGCAACAGTTTCATGTTGAACCTCATATTCTCTTTTGATTGTTTTAGGGTGCCATGCAGAGCTTAGAATTCCTGACAAAAAAGTCAAAAACAATGATGGCTATCCGTAAAGTACGTCAGTATGAAGAGGACTTTGACACCCCTGATTTCTGCAAAGAAGCTTTGAAAATCTACATAAAAATGCATGAAATGCTAGCGGACAGAGACGAGGAGGGTATAATAGATGTTGTTACAGAAAGAGCTTATCCTGAAGTCTTACATAATGTTCGTAATAAAACGATTCGCTGGAAGTATATCAAGGAGATTGAGCTTCCTCGAATCGTACAAGCCAGATGCACTGATGTCATAACAAAAGAGAATATATTCGCACAACTCACTGTTAGATTCCACACACAGCAGGTAAGTCAATAGAATTATCACAATTTCATCCATCTGTGAGATATATACATACATTAAATAATATTAACATTTAGATGAACATTCTTTTTAACTGATCACACTACTTTTTGAAGAAAAATTTTCAATCCTCAATATTTCTGATAGCTGATCATGAATCTGAAGTGAAAACTTAGCATTCTGGTCTACTTTTGGAGATAGGGCCACCCAAAAGCCAAAAAATGTATTATTCTGGGAACTCACTTTCGGTAATGAATAAAAATGTGTGAAAGGTCACCTTCTTTTTATGATTGCGTGCTGCAGACCTTATATTATTGATAACTGTTCGTCATCGAACTGCACAATATCAGAAAATTCCCCTGTACCTTAATCTGACATATTCAACAAATTGGGTGACTTGATAAAAGATTCTAGCAATGTATCAACTTTCAGGTCAAGGTTGAACTTATTGTATTTCATTTTGTTGTATTTCAATTCGTTCTACGAGGTCCATTGTTATATTATTTCTTTTCACAAACCTCTTTGCAGATGATACTCTCATTGCAGCAAGCGACTCTGATATTCATAATGCTGTACACAAAATTAATTTTACTCTTGAAAACGTGGCGAAGTTTTTGAACATAAACAAAGTCAAACCTAATACCACTAAAACGAAAGCTATGATATTGACAACTCAATATAAAAATAACTTAATTGATATCAACTCCATTAATATTGAGATCTACGGTGAAACTATTGAATTTGTGGAAGAATTCAAATACCTGGGCTTCATCGTTTATAACACTTTGAACTTAAAAAAAACACTTCCAGTATATGTGTGATAAAATTTCTAATAAAATGTTTTTCTTTACTAGAATAAGTAGACAACTAACATTCCAATCTAATTTGACTGTTTATAAAACAATAATCCTACCACACTTTGATTACTGTGCTACTCTGATATCATTACTAGATGGTAATTCTATCTCTACTCTACAAAAATTACAAAACAGAGGAATGCACTTGTTATTAAAATGTCATAAATATACGCCTATATTATCAATGATTAATATTCTGAATTGGATGACAGTAAAAGATAGATTACAATATTATCATTTACTACTGCTTTGTTTTACACACTATATTCTATTATATAAGTCTTATATATTTCAGTTTNTTTGATAAACCTCCAGCATATGTTTTATTATATCTTGTTAAATAGTAAAGAAAATGTTTGCATTTTTGAAAGAAAATTTGCAAAAAGTTTATATTTTGAAAGGAAAATTATAAAATACAGTTCTGTTGTAAAAAAAATCATCAACCATATGTTAGAGGTTTTGTGATGACAAAATATACTACAATGACAAAATGACAAAATTAGGCTTTATTAAAGAAGGTAGGAACATGGGTTAAACCTCAATTTTTTTGAAAATTTGGTACTCGAAAATTTTCTGCAATTCATTCGATTCTGAGAATTGTTGAAATTGTCTTTTCAAACAGTATTGATATGTGACAATGGGATTTATAAGTGAGTTCAATATGACCTAAAGATCATTAAAGTCAAAACACTTTCATTGATAGGTATTACTGAAAAAACCGAAAGATGTTCAAAATGTCAACCATTTTCTGAAACAATCCGTCATCTGTAGGGATTATTGCTTTCATATATATGAGATGAGTTTGGTAGACAATACATTCAATATATCCCCCATATAAAAAAATCCTTTTTTGTTATGTCAGGTGATCTGGGTAGCCGTTCCAATGCTCCAACTACCTATTCATTATCGATAAAAATGATCAGTGTGATATTCTAGTATTTATGTTTCTAAATGTGGTGACACACCATCTTGTTGCAGCCAATTTCTGAGTCTTGTTCTATATGAATCATCATGTGAAACCTAATTGTTGCTATTGCGAAATATTATTTACAGAGAGCTAATCTGACGTATTTCCTTCCTGTGACGTGCTCATCAAAAGAATACGGACCAATAATTCCACCAGATAATTAGTGACTAATGCTGTTGATGGTTCATACAATGAACCAAATGGGTATTTTCTATTACACAATAATGCATATGTTTTTATAAAATGTCGCTTCAACAGAAAATGAGATGATATCGAAAAATCATATTCGTTTGAAAATGTCCTTGTAAGACAAAATGGCAGTAACGTTAGTTACAAATACAAGTGGTATAAAAATATAGGAAGTTTCAATTCTCATTTTTCATGATAATCTTCTACCACATAATAACGGCTATATCCATCAATTTATTAACCAATACTTAGTCCCAATGTTAAAATTGCACACTTTCCTCAAAATATCCCACAACTTCTGCCACAATTGCATTTAATGAAACAAAAAATTTCTCATAAACTAGCACAAGTCTTTGTAAAATTTGCCAAAAGTTATTCAGATCGATACACATCAAAATTATACCGATAAGTTTTAAACTATACTGCTACCATAAAGCCATCGAAATATTTAAGCATAACAAAAAAAAACTCAATGAAGCAAATATTCGATTGGTTGAAATAAATATATAGCATCTCAGAACAAACTCAATAGTTAAATGAAGACAACAGAATACTTGATATAATGGATCTGTAGAGTAGGGAATGTGAGTGTAGGCCCACAGCACTTAGGCCATATTTGATCCATTGTACATCCTCCTGAGGAGTTGTCCTCCTAGGTCATCGTTCATCTCCTTACATCGGCAGGTGTAGGCCAAGACTCGCCGAACACACACTCACTTATTGACGATAACTCTGACACTCGCATAAGACATGTCTGACAGTTTCATTTTCCTGTTCACGCATCCTGCATGTAGGTGTGTCCACTAGCCTCATATTATGGAAGTGTTTCCTTAGTTTACAGTCGCCAGTCAGAAATCCTATTGTTGAGCGTAGATTTTCCCTGGTCATCGCCAGATATTTCTTCGGCGTCAGCTTCCCAATATCGCCCAGGGTCATCCTGGCAAGACTGCATCCTTTGATTCCATCGTATCTTTTAAGGTATCCAGCATTTGTGTGACGTTTGGCTTGTTCCGCAATTGTCGAAGTCATTAGGCCGTATGTGCCACTGGGTCCTAAAATTCATAGTCCAGCCGCTTCCTTGGCTAAAGTGTCGGCAGTACGATTACCTTTACTCCTGTAGTGCCATTAAACCCACCTCAGTATAATGTTATTATCTACCAAATCATTGGCTAAATCTTGGTGGCCCTCCAGTACTAGCCCTGATATAATGGATATTTTTTTGACTGAAAAGTAAAATAAATTATCATCTGATGGATGAATGACATACTCAAATCTTATTCTTGAACATTCAAAAATATTTTTTGTGACTAATTATTCCATATTATTCATGTAAATCTTTTGTAGAGGATTTAGTAATGAAGTAATAATAAATATATGTTTCTGGTATTTTCAAAGTTTCATTTAAATATTTATGTATTTTTTTTGTATAATGATAATATGGAGGTATTGACACTACACTTAGGTAGTATGTATTGTTCACTTGAATGAATAAAGAATATCTATCTATGTCTATCAATCTTCTGAACATAAATATATAATTCATTGATTTATTTTTTGTTTGAACTTCTAGACCCTTGCAATTTATGATCGATTTGGAAGATTAATCCATGGCAGCGAAATAATTGCAAAGGATGTGCTGGAATATGTTGTTTTTGAGAAACATTTATCCAATCAATATGGGACGTGGAGAGTACATGGTAAGATTATTCCCGATTGGTTGCCACCCAGAGAACCATCTGCCATTACGTTTAAAAAACAAGTGAAAAATGCAGTGGAAGAACCCGAGAAAAAAGTTGATGGTACTGAAAAAATAGCTGACTCCATTACAAAAGATGTGACTGTACAGGGAAAGGATGTTACTAAAGAAATTAGAGCTTGAAACTATTGTATTGAGTGTAAGAAGTAAAGTATTAAGAGTTGGATTCAGTTTTTTTTTTCAGGTCGTCTTACCAAAAGGAATAATTTTTATTATTGCTATTTTTCTCACTCTTCCCATTTTATGGGTTACTGAGGTTCTTCCCTAATAAAATATGAATGAGAAACCAAATTGCTATCTGAACTTATCAATATAATTTAGTACACCTCTGTACTTTTTTCTGGGATCCAAGAAATATCGCTTACATCAGGATATGCTACAGTCGCAATTGTCTCCAAGTAAGTTGTCTTGGAGTAGATTTTAATTACTCGTACATAATTGAGAAACACAATTTACCAGTTATGAACACTCTGACCCATTACTTGATGAAGATTAATAACACTATTTATGTTAGTAGTCATAGAATTTTCACAATACATTTTATTAAAACGCATTGCGCTAGACCAGGGGTCTCCAAACTTTGAAGCCTTCGGGCCATAATGATGTTTTCAGTTTGTTCCAAGGGCCAATTTCTGCCCTTAAATATATTTCTAGACTAGGATAGTCGCAAAGTGCGTGATTTAAGCAAACTTACGCTTTTTTTGCATTTCAATTATTATTGTGTATTGTGACACTTAACGACATCTAGTGGCGAGTAGTGGT